CTTCCAAGAATTAATATTACTGGAGGATTTCAAAGGTTGTCTCCCTGAAAACTTAGTGTTACACTTGAACGAACAAAAGGTTTCTAGTTTGTCCGAAGCTGCAGTATTTGCCGATGAATACGTACTGACTCACCGAACCATTTTTCCCACGCCCCGACAGAGTCAAAATGTTAGGGGGATTGCTGAGAGGGGTTCGTCAGACGTGCGTTACCCAAGAACCGACACTCGTGCGTGCGTGCCCGGGAGAAGTACGTTTAAAAACACAGGGTCTAAACGCGCGTGTTTCTTCTGTCTTAATCCCAGTCATTTGATTGCAGACTGCAGGGCATGGAAACAAAAGAATGCGGCTGTTAAAGCAAAAAGCGTTGCGCATTTGGTTCTTGAACCGCAAGTAGAGATGGCTGAGACGTTTTCACCTGGAACAGAGTTGTTTAAACCTTTCTTGATGAGCGGTTCAGTTGCCATTTCTCCGGACGATGCGTCAAAACATGTTACCATTTTGCGTGACACTGGCGCGGCTCATTCGTTCATTCCGAAGAGGTACTCCCGTTGTTCGCGGACACGTATACAGGGACTGATATATTAGTGCGTGGAATTGAGCTCGGATGCGTGAAAATTCCTGTTCACTCCATTTCTTTGAAATCCGAGCTAGTCTCAGGTCTTGTAAACGTGGGAGTATGTGTCAAACTACCAATTGAAGGTGTCGATTTTATTTTAGGGAATGATTTAGCAGGAGGCAATGTTTTTCCCTTTCCTGTAGTATCCGACTGTCCAGCGCAAAATTCAGCTTCACTCGATGTCTCTCCTCCTCTACTTCCAGCGTGTGCGGTGACGCGCTCACAGTCACGGAAGTTCGCAGACACGGTCGATCTGTCTGACTCGTTCCTGTCGGATTCGGAAGCTACGGAGCTGTCATTGTCAGTGGATGACAATGTGTTAATGACAAGCTCTAATGTGCGTTCTCAGGGCCAAACTGGTATAGTCGGACGAAAGCAGCTTAGTGGGGCACAAAAGGCAGGTCCGTCTTTGTCACGTTGTGTTGAAAACGCGGTGAAAACAAAAGATGAACTTGCTTGTGTAAGGATGGGTTACTATTGGGATGGGGATGTCTTAATGCGTAAGTGGCTTCCAGTATCTGGGGACAAGGCTGGCTTAGAGGACCATACTTATCAAATTGTAGTACCCTTGTGTTATCGGTCAGTAGTGCTCGAGCTCGCTCACGATCACCTAATGGCAGGACACTTTGGGATCAATAAAACTTTTCAACGTGTTACCAAGTATTTTTATTGGCCCGGAGTGAAATCGAGTGTCGCGAAATACTGCCGTTCTTGTCATGCGTGTCAAATCGCGGGGAAACCTAATCAGGTCATTCGACCCGCGCCCTTACACCCAATTCCTGTGGTGGGGGAGCCGTTCGAACGTCTAATATTAGACTGCGTAGGACTGCTCCCAAAATCGAAAAGCGGACACCAATATCTCCTTACGCTGATGTGCACAACCACTCGGTTTCCGGAGGCGATCCCTCTCCGTAATCTAAAAGCTAAGACGATCGTGAGGGAACTAATCAAATTTTGTTCTCTGTTTGGTCTGCCGCGTATAATACAAACAGATCGTGGAACTAACTTTACATCGAAACTGTTCAAGCAAGTGCTATCTAGGATTTCAGTGTCACATCAGATGTCCAGCGCCTACCACCCACAGTCGCAGGGGGCGCTGGAGCGGTTCCACCAAACGCTCAAAACCATGCTGCGTGTTTACTGTGTAGAAGCGGGGAAAGACTGGGCTGAAGGTTTGCCCTTATTACTTTTCGCCGTTCGTGAAACTGTGCAAGACTCTCTCGGTTTCAGCCCAGCGCAGTTGGTGTTCGGTCATTCTGTTCGTGGTCCCCTTAAACTTTTGAGTGAACAGTTTCTTGAAAACGAGATTGCGCCGACGCCGGTGACTGAGTCTGTCGCTACACTCCGCAAACGTTTAAAACACGCTTGTGACCTCGCAAAATCGAATCTGGCAAGCTCACAGAGGGTCATGAAAGACTATTATGATCGCAAAAGCGGGGTTCGTTCATTTGCTGCTGGTGAGATGGTACTGGCTTTGTTACCGGTTCCTGGAACATCTCTGCAGTCCCGTTTTTCTGGTCCTTACGTTGTAGAAAGAAAGGTGAATGAAACAAATTACATACTGAGAACGCCGGACCGTAGAAAAAAAATGCGAACGTGTCACATCAACATGCTGAAGCCCTATCACACGAGAGAGCAAGTTGAAGCGTCAGTTAAGAGCGTGACCTTAGTTGCCCCTTCTGTTCTCCTGAACGATATTGTGGATGAAATTGGAGGATCTATTCCAGCGCTGCCAGGGGATAGCTTGCGTAACTCTAGTATACTCAGCGATTTGCACTCCTTCCTTACTCACTTGCCAGGTCGACAAAGAGAGAATATTATTAAATTGATTGACAGTTTTCCCAGTATTTTTTCTGATGTCCCATCTCGCACTAATGTGCTGTTCCATGATATCGACGTTGGGGATGCGTCTCCGATTAAACAACACCCCTACAGAGTTAATCCGCATAAACGTGGTATCATGAAAACAGAGGTTGAATACATGTTACATAATGGGTTAGCAGAACCAAGTCAGAGCGCGTGGAGTTCTCCCTGCCTGTTGGTGCCTAAGGCCGATTCGTCATTTCGGTTCTGTACTGACTTTCGAAAAGTTAATGCTGTCACTAAACCTAATTGTTTCCCTTTACCAAGAATAGACGATTGCATCGATCGGGTCGGACCTGCCAAGTTCGTCTCGAAACTTGACCTTCTCAAAGGCTACTGGCAGGTGCCTCTTACTCCGCGCGCTGCTGAAATCTCAGCATTTGTCACACCTGACTACTTCTGTCAATACTCCGTGATGGCGTTTGGGATGCGGAACGCTCCGTCCACGTTCCAACGCCCAATGCAGCTGGTACTACGTGATGTACAAGATTGTACTGTTTACCTTGACGACATTGTTGTGTATTCGTCCACGTGGGAAGAGCACATTGCAACGTTATAAGACGTCTTCCGTCGGTTAGCTGGTGCATCGTTAACCGTGAACTTGACGAAATGTGAATTCGCCAAAGCCTTCGTTACCTATCTTGGCAAACGTGTGGGTCAAGGTGAGGTATGTCCACTGGATGTTAAAGTTGCGGCTATCACTGAGTTCCCTAGACCCACAAACAAACGTGAGTTACGCCGTTTTATCGGTATGGCTGGGTATTATCGCGGATTTTGTTGCAATTTTGCTACTCTTGTTTCGCCTCTAACAGACCTTCTCCGCCCGACACAAAATTTTCAATGGACCTCTACGTGTGAACACGCTTTTTCAGGAGTGAAAGATCTGTTATGTAACGCCCCAGTCCTGGCCGCACCTGATTTCGAACGTCCTTTTCAACTTGAGGTTGACGCCAGTATGGTTGGCGCGGGAGCTGTCCTTCTACAAACATCCGAAACGAACGTCAAGAGACCGGTGTGCTACTTCTCGAAGAAGTTTAACCGCTGCCAATACAGATATAGTACTATTGAGAAAGAGGCTCTCTCCTTACTGATGGCGTTGAAACATTTTGAGGTTTATTTGGGTGGCTCAACCCTCCCTATTAAAGTTTATACGGACCATAACCCCTTGGTTTTTCTCTCTCGCATGTACAACGCAAACCAACGCTTAATGCGTTGGTCTCTCGCCCTTCAAGAATTCAATTTGGAAATTATCCACAAGCGCGGCACTGAAAATCAAATCGCCGATGCGCTGTCCAGAGCGCACAGTGCTGAATAGATTAAGGGATCAATGAGCTATAGCCATTAATCTTTGGGGAGGGGAGGAGTGTTACGTGTCAGAACGTAAGTAATAATGTGTAGAACAAGTGAACGTGTACGTGCTTGTTTCTTTTGTGGGTTTGCTCTCTCTCTCTCTCTCCTGTCCCTTAATTGCGTTACAGGTGCAGCTGTTTAAGTGGGCGGGGCTGATGGACTCGTCGAATGGATATAAGCTGTGTGGAAGCTTCTGTTCCTCGAGTTCCCCCTCCTGCTTCACGGTGTTATATTGTCAGATCATAGTGTGTCGGATCATAGTGTGTCAGTGCTCTTTGGTGTAGAGTAAGCTGCTTGTGTGCAGCACCAATGTTGTTAGCGGTATAGGCCGGTAATTGTTATCTTGATTTACTTTCCAGACTGTTTGAGAGGACGGAGGCCGTTTGTTTATTTTTCACCTTTTCTCCTGTTTATTGGTTAGTAGGGAGGTAAGCATTGTATTTTATTTTATTTCTAAACCCAGGGAAGACTATCTAAAATCTAGTCAGAACGCCCGTTTTGTTTGTTGTTTTGTGGCCGACTTTAATCCTCTCAGTTCACACTTTGTTTTGAGCGAACCAAATCTTACCCCTACTTCTACAAGGAAAAGGAAAAATAAATGTTTACTTTTCTTGAACTTTTGTTGTGTTGTGGAGTGATTTAGTGGAGCAGGAGACGGAACTCCGGGCGGTGCCTTTTAATAGGTGTCGCTCTCTTGTGTTAGTGCATGTGGCACGTAACAGCATCCCAACCAGCCCGACACAGACAGTTTTAGGGTGGCGCTTTCTGTTTGCAGATTGTGAGTGTTTCAAACTTTTTTGACACCAAGGATTTTTCACAGCCATTATTTGAAATTAAATGCAAACACAAATTAAAATGAAAAGACTGTACATTAATGTTTAAAAGTTTGGGGTCAGTAAGTTTTTTTTAAAGAAATTAATACTTTATATAGCAAGAATGCGCAAATTGACAGTAAAGACATTTGCAATGTTACAAAAGATTTCTATTTCAAACAAATGCTGTTCTTTAACTTTCTATTGATCAAAGATTCCTGATAAAATGCACAACGGTTTCCACAAAAATATAAAGCAGCACAACTGTTTTCACTGTTTTAAACTTTGAATTTAAAATCTATTTCACATTAAACTTTTGAACAGTAGTGTAAGTGCCAGATGCACATTGTAAACTCACCCATAAAGGATCCAGTGCTGCAGATGAGACTGAAGAAGCAGCTCTCTGGAGGAAGTGTGCCGCATTTACTGCAGATCAGAACATCAGAACAGAGGTTAGATGCCCAGGGTTCTCACCACATGAATAAACACACATACATACATGCTCATTCCAAAGCAAAGGGTCCTGAGGGATGAACTCCCATTGGCAGTTGACTAAAATAGGACACTCTGGCTCTTGGGAGCACACTGGCAGCTGTGGATTATTGGGGAAAAAGAGGGATGGAGCTAGAAAAGGGCTTGAGGACCCTCGGCTATTCTCCCACAGCTGTCACACTGTATGGGAAATGACAAAAGATAAGCAAAGATAGGGCCTCCACTGATGAAAGACTGTGCAAGCGCCTCACCATGAAAGGAAATCTTCCTCTTTAATGCATAGGTACTCTTTACTGAAGACCAGTTCAGCTTTATATAACATGTCACCATGGTATGAAGCTTTCAAAAGAAGATGCAGCTGTAAATATACAGTATGGAGTAAACAAACTTCAATTTAAAGTCAAGCAAAAAGTTCTGAGAATGGCTGGCTGCCAACTTTCCAACATCTCATTGGATTCACTGTCTTAAAGGGATACTTCAAATGTAAATTCTGTCATTATGTAATCACCCTTATGCCTTTCTAAACCTGTATGACTTTCTTCTGTAGGTAGATTGAAGAATCTCCACACGGGTCTTTTCCAAACAAACAATTCATGGTGACAAAATCTTAAAAAATGACAAAAAAAAGCATTATAATAGTATCGTAAAAGTGATACATATGACTTTTGACACTACATATGACACTTTATTTCAAGTCTTTTGAAACCATACAATAGCTCATTGTGAAGATTGAGAACATACCAAAATATAATCAATATTCGTTTTTGGAGCTTGACTGTCGGGGTCACTACGAATTATCATTGTATGGAAAAAGACCAGGGTTAAGAGTCTTCTGAATATTCTTTTGTTACATAGAAGAAAGAAAGTAACACAGTTGGAACAACATGAGAGTGGGTTAATTATGACAGGAAAACTGTAAACTAACTAAAAGACCAAATGCAATGTTCTCCTGAAAAGCAAAAAAAAAAAAAGTATTAGGGCCAGATTTACTAACAGCTTGCGCCAGTGCAAACCCTCTTTTGGCACTAAAAAACTACTGTCAGGAATTACTAAAGACATTCAGGGAGAAGTTAACGCTGAAAGCCGTGGACACAGTTATTTTTCCGGCTGTCCTTATTGCATATGCATTTGTAGGAGTTTCCCTTTCAGACGCACAATTTATGGGAGGAGAGTATTTAAATAAATCATGCAAGGGGATTTACTAAGGTTTGCATTGGTGAATGTGATTTCACCAAGTGCAACATGTCCCTGGATCAACTTTTTTTAATTTATCCTGGAACAACATTCAAATCAACCAATCAGATTTGATGGACAAGATTACAGTTTGTGTCAAGTTTAGGCTTAGAACCATGGTTAGGTGCTTCTACATCAGTGTTATTCACCTATCTTTCCCTCTGATTTTAAGATATGACTTATGGGTAGAGTTAGGTTTAGGTGTAGGGATAGAGTTAAGACTACATTTTCTTACAGGAATGTTGTTCCAGGATCAATAAAATATGTTGATCCAGGAACATGCCTCACTTGACAAAAATCACGGTAATCGGTTTGCACTAGTCAATTTACTGGTATTTGCGCCATTATTTAACGCCCCAAAAAGCATGTCTTAAAAACCAGACGCAAATTTGCGCTGCTCTTGGTAGATTGCGTTGGTCATTATGGAAATGATCCGGCTGCGTCTGTGATCTTTAATTTGCACGTCGTCAGTAGATCACGCGCAGAACTTTCCACTCCCATCGGCACTTTTATGGGATTGCGCTCTCATGCTAATTTTCCCTGTTTAGTAAATATGCCCCTTAATTTCTACAAATTCCCTGAAGCAAACTCAGCTAGCCTAAACCAATTTTCTGCCAAATGAGCCTCGACTGGATTACATATAGCAATGCTTTCTATAAATACATCACTGAGGTGTTAAGCTCTATAATGATAAGCTAAAAAAGGAGTATGCTGTTCCAAGGTTTTGTTAGTGTGTGTGTGGATTTGACCTTTCACCCACTTCAGATACCTTTAGGCTAAGAACCGCAGACTATGCTGGGTAGCAGTCAAAATAAACCCACACACAAACACAGACGAAAACACCCACACTGCTGGTAGTGGAAATGCAGATCATAGACACACCCAAAGACATTTCGCATATAACTCAAGTTCTCATACTCCATAAACCACACAGCTCTGAAGGCAACGGAGACAGACGGTCTATTGAACAGCTCGGGTCAAAGATCCCACAAGTTATTCCAGAATCCACAATATATGCATTGTCAGATTTCCCTTTGATGAGAAACTGCCTAGAAAAGTCAAATAAATGAGGCTAAACCATCTCAATGTTCTTGACATTTCTTTCAGTATGGTTTTGATTTTTCCTCAATAATTTGGGAAATTCCTTTGTGTGGTGGACAAGTGGCAGTTCCTGAAGAGTTTTTCTCTCAGCAAGAAAAATATCTCTTAAAGGGATAGTTCACCCAAGAATGAAAATTCTGTCACCATTTACTCACCCTCAAGTTGTTCCAAACCTGTGTGAACCAAACAGTTGTGGGGCACCATTTCCATCCATAGTATGGGGAAAGAAATACTATGGAAGTCAATGGTGCCCCACAAATGTTTGATTACAAACATTCTTCAAAATATCTTTCTTTGTGTTCAGCAGAAGAAATACATTTATAAAGGTTTGAAACAATTTGAGGGTGAGTAAATAATGACAGAATTTTCATTTTTGGGTGAAATATCCCTTTAACTGAAACTGCTTGTTAAAGATACAGAGTAGGTCACACATAACAATGTTTCTAGATTCCTGTTTCTCCCTGACCCCGTCTCAGTCTTAAGATGGAGGAAAAGAGAAATGACACACCAGAGAAAAACAAGAGATGTGTGCAGAGGAAAGGAAGGGGTTGTTGAATGAAGAATGTGCTGACACAGACCACTGCGTCAGGTAGGGAGGGAGTCTGAGAAGGGGCACTTTCCAGGAATATGGTGCACTTTGGAGTTCATTTTGGAGATTTTTTTAATGAAACACAGACTTCATATTTTTGGTAGTGAGAATTATTAGGGTGCTTTCACACTTGGATCAATTGTCTGGTCCGAACCTGAGTTTGACTGCTCCCCCTGCCCCCACTGGATTGGGTCCGAGCAGCAGCGCGTTTGCATCATCAAAGCAGCACCTGTTTACCCCTGTTGCTTAGTAACAACGATGCAGGAGAAGGCGGCAAAATGTTTAGTGTTGCTCACCTCACTTATACTTTTTTTTTTTTTAACCTTTGGTTTTGTTTTCTATCTGCCATGAATGTTCTATATATGTTCTGAAGAACACGGAAGTCCACTTGTGTTGAAGACGAGCAGAAATAATACATCTCACTGATTGCGTCCGTCCGTCACGCTTGTCAGGAAAGTGAGTGAGAACACACACAAGCACAGTTTTATCAAATCATACATCATTAGTCGCGGTTCACTTCCGCGTTTTAGTACGATTGTGTTCATATCAGCAGTGAACCGTACCGGAGTTCACATTAACTGTACCCCAGACCCCCCTTTTTAGGCTAACTCGGGTATGAGAGTTCAGAAAACAGTGTTCACATCCAAATGAACCAAACCCGGGGGCGTACCAATAGGGCTAGTGTGAAAGCACCCTTATTTATGGCTTTTATAGTTAACTCTAACTAAAACTAAACCTAAAACCATCAAAAAAACATTTTCATTAATGTTAACTGAAATAAAATATTAAAATAACTTGTTTTAAAGTGCCCCATTATGCTTTTTCGCAGTGTGTAATATAGCTGTTTATGGATGTAAAAAGTCTGCAAAGTTTTCAAACAAAACTAAAAGTTTTGAAGATCAAAGCCTAGACAAATAAAGTTATCGTCTCCTCAAAGAAAGAATCAATTCTGAACTGCTGAAACGAGTCGTCAGCAATTCTAGTCTCACTTCCTGCTCGAACCTATGTAGGTTTGTAACAAATTTGCATAATGCCAGGGGTAGGGTTGGGTACCGAAACTCGGTGCCAATAGGGAACCGGTTCCGACGTAAACGGTAGTAATCAGACCGAATAAGAACGACAATTTCGGTGCCTGATTTCGGTCCCTGACTTAATTAGGCACACACACACACACGCACAGTCTCTTCTGTCTCGCAAGCGCGCTCTTGCTCGCAAGGTTTGGCTGCATTTCACGTGTAAAATTACGCGTCAGAACGCCCTCTGGGTGTGCCCATAGTCTGAATCCCATATAGAATCAAGCCGATTCATTGGCTAATGGCGCGGGCGCCGCCTCGACGCACTTACATCGTCATATTATGTTGGCGCGCGCGCGCCATCTGCTCCTCAGATTTCTCTGTCGAAAAAGGAAGCTGGTCGGCAGCGCGAGGAGCTTGGCAGTGTCTCGTTCCCTATTGAGAGAACATAGGTTACACCAGTAACCAGATATGTTCTCTTTCATAGGTTCACTCAACGCTGCGTAGCTAAGAAGCAGTGGATTTGTAGGCTGCTGTATCACGTGCCGTTTGAACTGACGCGCTACAGCGATCTGTCACATTTCAAAGAGCCAAAACGTTATTTATTGTGTGAATCTCGTAAAAATATTGACAGAATCTGACAGCTGTGGATTTGTTCCGTATCAAAAGTAACCTTCTCTGTCTTGTCTGTCGGTGTCCTCTTTGTCCGCGATTTTTCTCTGCGTGAGAAAATGGATGTGTGGCGTGCGTGAGAGCGTGTGAAAAGGGTCAATGCGTGAGAGTTGGCAGCTCTGCTAGTAATCTCTATTAATCTCCAGTATTATTACATTGTTTGATACAATATTGATTTATTTGATATTATGTAAATGTGTAAAATGTAATGTAAAAATTTGTATTTTATATTGGTTTTATTAATACCATATGTTACTTGTATTTATATTGTTTAAAGATTTAAGTTAATATTGTGTCCAGTTTGGCCCTGTAAATAAAAGGGTATTATTTTTTGATAAAGTGTGTGCGGTTTCGTTTTCTTAAGTACCGTTTCAAGAACCGTTTAAGCACCGGAACCGTTTAAAAAATACCGAGTAGGTACTGGTATCGGATAAAACCCAACCGATACCCAACCCTAGCCAGGGGCCAGAAAGAAGGGGTTAAGAGAGACTGAATCTTCGAACAAATCGTTTTCAGACTCTGAGAAATGAGATGATGCGCAAAGTATATTATGAGAAAATGTACGTTTTTTGACCTATGATGCATGTAAACTTATTGTAGGAGGCCTCCAAAACAAAATGAGGAACCTTTAAAATAGCATAATAGGGGCACTTTAAACATCAATTGTCTGTACTTTAATGGTGATTTTGTTGTAGAATTCTTGACGTTCTCAACCAAAAAAAAATAATGTTAATGTTAATGTTTAGTGAGCGTTCCATATATTGTGCACATTGTAACCCTGAAGAAGTTACATCATTTGGACCCTTTCTACAGCATGACAAGGAGTCATTCAGCATGGCATGTAAATAATCTCCATAATAACCCTTTTCTTAATGTTCCACAAACTGTAGTGTTTCCTCCATTCGTAAAACTCAAGCAATTCTCTTATTGAAATGAAAAAGTTTTAAACATAAAAAATACAATACAACTACAAAAGATATGATGTCACTAAATCTTAATTAAGGCTAAATCTACATCCCTGGCTGTTACCCATTGTCAGTGTTTTTCTTACTGTTACTTCATACAGACCTTATGAGAGGAACGTTGTCCAGAGTACAGCATAAGGTTTGTCCCCTCTGCATTGGCAGATCCACCTCACATGACTGGTTATACATCCTGCAAGCAAACAAATACTCAGACCCCCACATATAAATACAAAAACATATACATTATGGAGTTACAGTATAACCGAGTCCCGACTCGGTTGTACTGTAACTCCTATAACCGAGTCCCTTAGTGGGAGTCTACTTTAAGATCTTGCTCACTTGCTATAAATAATAGTCAATCATACCAGACAGACCTGAGTATTAGGAAAGCTGCATCTGTCTGTGAATTTGAACAAGTTACACAGCGCTGCATTCCTACTGTACACTGGATGATATGATCAGAGTTACAACTCACTTCCAGTATAAACGTGTTTTCACAGCCGCCATTACTTCGATTCATACTACACCGTGCAAAAATCAAGGCAAACATAATGTGGCTACACTTCATTACTAAAGCAAACACATCCTTCGCTACAGGACTAATGCTCCTCCCACCAGGAGGAAAACACTGAAAGACCACTGTTGTTTCCAGAGTGTAAAAATTATCCAGGAATGCAAAGCACCTAAAAAGGTTAAAGCAGCCTTTCGGCTGAATTTCATTAAACAGACCGAATTTGATCTTGTTAGCTCAGCTTAATTAGATTTTTCTAATTTTTCACTGATATTCTTAGACAGTGGGTTTTATTCATTAATTCCTTTTATTCACAAGTCATATTAATGAGTAATCCTCTCCGACTGCTTCTGCTCATGGACCCAGATGCCATTTTTACCATTTTAAATAATTAAGGTACAGTGTAAGCCCAACAGCAGCGCTAACATTTAAGTTACCTAGACACTGCTATGCTCAGGTATGCTAATGTTTGACTAAAAGCACAAGTTAACCTGCAATTCTTCATTGGCTGACATGTCCATGAGCCATATTAAGTTAATAAGAAATGATTTGGACACTCGCTCAACATCTCATATCAAATACATTACTCATTAGTGCAGATGACGCAGAAGAAGTGTATTAGACACAATGCCAGAAGGTCTCTCTCTGATGTGTGCATTTTAAAAAGGTGTTAGTTCAGTATCGGTAAATGGTTAATATCCTTAGAGCTCAAATAAGCTCTTTTCTTTCAAAAGATGAAAATATGCATATTTCAGTTACCAATATATTAATAAACATATACAAATAAAAATACTTGTGTAAATGCTTAATACATTTTTATATTTTATGTGCATTAAATAAAGTGTTATTGTACAGTTTAAAATATTTAATATATTTAATCATTAAATTACATATATTGAATTAAATGAAAAAATGTAAAATACCATATAGCATAATGTAATCTTACAATTAGAAAAAACAAATAAATAACTTTTGAAAAGTGGACACATTGATATTTAGTTTAAAAAGAAGACTTCTTACCAGTTGTCCACAGGACAGACATGTTGATTATACAAGGCCATGGCATACCTGGAAAAATAGAAATGATAGTACCTTAGAAACATAATGTAATCAGCGCAAACCAGATAAAAAATTTTAAAAGGAGGATTTAAACTTGCATTTCATTTTTACTTGCCTCGACTTGTTTAAAATAGATTGTGTAAAGTGATTTTTTGACTCTGTATTATTACACCAGTAACACTTATAAGGTCTCATTTGTTAACATTAGTTAAAGGGATAGTTCACCCAAAAATTTAAATTCTGTCATCATTTACTCACCCTCAAGATGTTCCAAACCTGAAGGAATTTCTTTCTTCTGCTGAACACAAAAGAAGATATTCTGAAGAATGTCGGGAACCAAACAGGCCCAGGGTTTCATTGCCTTCCATAGTATGTAAAACATACTATGGAAGTCAATGGGGCACCTCAACTGTTTTGCTACTGACATTCTTCAAAATATCTTCTTTTGTGTTCAGCACAAGAAAGAAATTCAAACAGGTTTGGAACATCTTGAGGGTGAGTAAATGATGACAGAATTTAAATTTTTGGGTGAACTATCCCTTTAATGCATTAACTAATATGAATTAACAATGAGCAATATATTTTTACAGCATTTGCTAACTAATGTTAACAAATGAAACCTTTTTTGAAAAGTGTTACTGGTGTAGCTCATGAAAACACCATCTAAACAAAATGGACACAAACAATTCATAATAAAAACTGTGTTCTAAAAGAATCTGTCTTTGAATGCACCAATGATCATGTCAAAATAAAAACTGTTTCAAAGCTGACCACAAGAGCAATGTAAACCACTGATGTCTGAAATTAAGCAAAGAGATGCAGTATGACTCATGAGCCCAGAGCTTTAAGGGCTGAAACATATAAAAGTTACTTTATCATTATAGGTTACGCATATGGACATAAAGAAAGGATTATAAAAAATATGCTGTGGTCTCCTTCACTACCGCAACAGCCTGTATTCACAGATAAAATCAGAAGTGCATGTCCTTTTGACGTGACTTTCTGTTAGCATAGAACCAAAAACCGGAGAGCTCTGGAAAATTAGTCAACTCAACCTGTGCATCTTCAGCTTACCCTGGCGTTATGTGTCATTCTTTGCTCACACTTATGCAACAAGGTCAGCACACTCGTGGTCCTGTCACACTGACCCTCATAAGATGTCAATGAACACAGGACCATCAGATAACGGTTAAAGTAAACGTTTGCCAACTGACTTTTACAGAATCTGATGAAAGACAATTTCCAAGCAAGCAAAATTTGCTTACTATGGAAACTTGTTTCCACCACGGAATAAAAAATAAATAAGGTAATAGCGTTTTTTATTTATTTCACAATTTGGACCGTTTTTTCTCAGAAGTTTATATCTTGCAATTGCAGGTTTATATCGCACATTCTGCTAAAAATAAAAATAAAAATTATTGTGAGTTATTCTGACTTTTATAACTAGCAATTTGCAGTTTGACTATATTTCTTGCAATTGTGAGATATAAAGAACTTGCAGTTGCAAGTTAAGTCTGAATTTTGAGATAAAAAGTCAAACTTGCAATTCTGACTTCATTTTTCACAATTGTGAGATATAAACTTGATATAAAGATAAAGCAGTTAAAAGGCAAGTTTTAAATTTCGAATAGTAAGATATAAACTTGCAATTCTGAGGGAAAAAGTCAGAATTGTGAGATAAAAAGTCGTAATTACCTTTTTTATTATTTTATTCCATGGCGGAAACAAGCTTCCATAATTACAAATGGACAATGAGAGAAGAAAAGAATATTAGGTGGTCTGTGTTAACACACTCGGCACCTGCTGATGGATACGTCTTTCTCTCATGCAGATCTCACTGTTGACATACACACAAACACATTTGCATTTGTCCAACGTAACTGCATCTGACAGCACGCAGGGTCAGATGTGGGCTAAGCAGCAATTAGGTTTGTTTTCATCTCTAGTAAATAGTGTGTGTGTTTGTGTGTGTCCACAGCGAGACAGATCACCTGAGCCTTGCACTACACTTAGCACAACGCTGAGAGAAATTACATTTGGTAAACAAGCATTCTGCCATCTGCCCTGGCTGGTGTTGTAAATAATCACGCAGACTGTTACCAGGTCACTTTCAACATCCCAGAGAGGCGCACAAGACATGCCTAGGAGAACACAGTCTGGCTAGAGTAACACAGCCCCCGCTCTGATACTGGAGCCCATCTGTTCACCATAAGATTTGGATTCGCTCTCTAAAGTAACTCGTGACAGGAGTCAATCGTGAATTTTTTGGCTGAACACTTGTACTTCTTCATTTTTTATTGAGCAGGGCACCACAAACTTCAAAGCTTTTAAAGGGATAGTTCAACCAAAAAAGAACATTCTGTCATCATTTACTCATCCTCATGTGGTTCCAAACCCGTATGACTTTCTTTCTTCTGTGGAACATAAAAGAAGATATTCTGAAGAATGTTGGTAACTAAACAGTTTTGGTGACCATTGACTTCCATTGTATGGGCTAAAAAGACAGAAAGTACGTCTTTGATGACAGAATTTTCATTTTAATTGAATTAAATGATGACAGAATTTCCCTTTAAATAAAGACTTGGCATAGCTCATGAATATTTGCCATCAAAATTACATTTTAAACAGAAAGAGTTATGATAAATTGTAGTAATATTTCACAATCTTGTTAGTGCTTTCACTGTGCATTCAATCAAATAAATGCAGCCTTGGTCAACAGAGAGACCCCTTTCAAAAACATTTAAAAAATCTCACAGACCCTAAACTTTTGAACGGTATTGTACATAATAATTCAATTTGAATTGTCTTAATAAGATACAGCACTCTGACTAAAGGCTGTTTGAGGAAGAGGCGAGGATGAATGCTTCATAATCTTGTTTTAATTAACCTTCTTGAATCGAATTGCGTACATTTTTACAAACAACCTCCTTAAACAGCTGGCAGACTCCACCAGTGTCCATACCCCCTCCATTCCGCATCATGTACTCCGGTCATTCACAAAGACACCTTTTGCTGTGCAACCACAGCAGGTGTGAGAAATCAATCCCCAGGAGCTTTAGGTCCAATCAAACCAGAGACCAGACCTGATCTGAATGGATTATTAGGCTACATCTCCAACCAGAGAGGCACAATGCTTGTATTGTACCATCGAGGACACAGATGTAGCACTGACTGTTTTAGCTGTTAAAGGCAACCAGCTTTAAAATATAAAGCCTTTGTTATGAATAAATATGCTCAGTGTTGTTTGCATAAACAGTACGTTCAACTATGCAACGTCCGGGACTATGCAAGCATGTGCGACGTTACCATAAACAACAGCCTCAAAGTATAGAAATAACGTTCAAATGGAAACACTGGCTTGGAAACTTGCTCTTGCCTAAATGGAAACTTTTTTTTTTTTTTTTTTTTACACAATGCAGCCTGAATAATTTAAACAACCATTCCACTGGTGTGTAACTGTGGGCTACATACTCCTCAAAAACTGCCTCCAATGAAGTGTTTAACTAACAAAAAAACTTGCATTATGAATCAATTCTATAAGAGAAGATTCAGAACATGCCAGTCAGTTTCAGTCGTGCTTTGAACTGTTGATGTTGTTGTTTTTAGTAACGGTAACAGTTCTTATACAGGTCATAATTAGAGGTTCCATATTCAGCTATGAAAACATGCCATTTCTTGCATAGATACGGGGCACGTTTAGTCCATGTTGTATTGGGAACTTCTCCCAGACCTTCACTACAGGAGTCATGGAGAGAATAAACCAAACATTCTCTCTCTGGCATAATAGATGAAAAGTCGCTGATGCTGCTCTAAGTTGCTCTCCTCTGTTTTACTCGCTCCTCTGCTTGCAGAGGCTTATGTAACCACCTCTGTCGCTTCAAACTCAAGGCTCTGCAGGAGAGGAAGGGGATCTTGAACTCCCTGTAGAAACAGGGCGCCTGCAAGCTCTCCACAGGAAGGAAGTAGGGGCAACAAGCAATGAGACGCCAGCACAGCGCTGCACCTTCAAACTAATAAAACTGTATAAAAGGTAATCCACAGCCCCTCGAGTCTTCCAACAACTTCCATCACACATGAAGCCAAAAACCTTTTTTTCTTAAACATTACCTTGAACTACAAGTCTTATCAACCGCATGCCGGTTCATGCAAAGCTCTCTTCCTGAAGATCCATTTCTGTACCATCACAAAGTTACTAATAATGACCTCAAAGTCTTCAACATTTTTCAGGCAAGTTCAGACGAGTCAGTTATGGGCACGCTTGTAGTTTTATGTATAGCCCACTCCCCAAAGAGCAGGTTCAGGAATACTGAGAGTGGCTGCATTTCAGATGTTTTAGCTCGTAATTTTATCTTTGCACACATAATAAAACTTTCCATAATAAATTATGTCACAATGAAACTGCATGTTTCAGTAGCAGCTTTGAGGCGCCCCCCCCACCCCCCACCCCCCCCTAAAAAACTGACATAACAGACTTTTCTCCTCAGCTAACAAAAATATGTTCTAAAAACTTTTTGCTAACATTCTAATGCTAATTGCTAATGTTCTCTGAAGGTTCAGCATTTTGAATGGTTTAAAAACGTTTTTTCTTGTTTAAGCGAACGTTAAGGGAACATTCCATTTTATCATTTTCCAAAAATTATGGGAATGTTACTTTTTAATGTTCTCTGAACCTTTTGAAAGAAGTAGTAACAAAAAAAACATTAGACGAATGTCCAACTAAAACATTTAGGAAAAAACGTTATATAAACGATGTATAAATAATGTTTTTGTGCTAACGTTTTGAGAACATTATTAAAGACCAGATCGAACGCATGATAATGTTACTGGAAGAAACTTTGTTCATAACTTTAAGAGAACCATGCCAGAATGTTAGCCAAAGTTTTAAGAACGTTAGCTGGGTCTCGGTAGGGAGAGAAGGCAACCATTTCAATGCAGGCCAAACCTAAAACTGTGATTTACTTGCATTAAGTACACTGACTTCAACATATTCTATATCTACTGGCTACATCACACTGTTAAAACAATCTGACACATATACAATTACAACTATACAACTACATCAATTATTCTTATAGACCATAAAGTTGGAATTTACCAAACAGACATATTGTGTCTATATCCCTCTAAGAACATTGTTGAATTGGTGTGTGCATCCAGTTAAAAATCAAACTAGTCTGAAAGTGATGTAATCTTAAATCAGAGCATACATGACAACTGCAGAGGTTTTATCAATACCTATTGATACCCAGGATCGTTTAATTTGATATGAAATAAAATGGACTTACACAACCCATATTCCAGTGATGGTCAGAGCTGGGAGGCTGACAGGTAAGATCATCCACAGAGACATCTCCAGCAACACGATCCTCTACTGCTCCCCTCAAAATCATCCACTTCTTTCGCCTTCGCCAGCCCGTCTCCCTCGGCTCATCAATGTGCATTTATACTTGTTGCATGACCCCAAACCGGCTTATCACAAATATCATATCTGTGACAAAAACAAAAAATAAATATTTACAATGACAACAACTGAATAAACAGACTAGACTGTTACCTGTCATTTTTACATGATTTTGTATTGCACAATGCATACCTGTTTGCAAAGCTGTGGATTTTGCATTATTATAAGCACATTGTTGTTGTTTTTTACTTTTATACTCTATATTGTATTTTTCTATTTGTTTAAGCATTTTTAACTCAGTGTATATCTGTGATTCTGTCTATGCTTTTTTCTGGACCAGGAACAACAGAACATTTCATTGCCTGCAAATTCTGCTCCATGCCTAACTGGTGTGTATTTGTATTAGACTATATTGAACACTGTAAAAGTCGCTTTAAAAGCATCTGGAAGAATATCCTTTTGGTAACCAGGCAAAATGGCCGATTGAAGTTGCAGTTTAACGTAAGTGTAATAGTCGTGGTGTGTGTAGAGAGTGGACACTGTATCTCACCTTCCCCCCTGTGATAGGGGACAGCAGACGTGTCTCCCACCTTTTGTTAAACCCTCAGACAGAGCGCAGACTGTTCAGAAACGGTAACATCAATCACCAGTAACAGCTACAGGTTTCTCAATACTCCTCAAGCGTCCAAATGACCGCGGCTGTGTAATCTTCCTTTGCTCTCTGTGTTTCTCTGTGCTCTTCCAGCAGAATTCTGGTGCCTCACTCCTTTCGGAATATAAGCGCTGTCTCTCTCTCGTGTCCCGCCGTGTGGACTCACTGAACGCTAACGTCCAGCTGTTCCCGGAGCTCCGCCTCCCACAACACACGCACTGATGCATCCTGATGCACTGAACAAAATGTTTGTAATTTTGACGTAAAAACAACGTACAACAAGGTCTACGGAAAAAACAAACAAACTAAGAGTTGAGTTGGTTTACTGTAGCCTACATTGAAACAAAAATGTAATTAGTAAAAATCATATAGGCCTACACTGTAAAAAAAAAAAATATATATATATATATGATCAATATATGCCAACATGTTTTTACATTGCTTTAACTCATCAAAATAAGTTAAGCAATTTTCAACTTTTTTATAATTTATACAAGATTCAACAGTTTTTTTAAAGTCAGCTTGATGTAATTTTGTTGAAATGACTTAGCTAAACATCCAAGTTTATTGTACTTAGAAATTTAAGGCAGCAACTTTTTTTTTTACAGTGTACATTCAACATGTGTTTGTACAGTGAAGTGTTGTTACAATTATGTTTTTGTAGGCCTAAGTAAAAAATAATGGAATTCGCCTACTTCACCAGAATATTTGATCTAAATAACGATTTTAATTTTTATATTTTTGTATCGTATCTCTATGTACAGCGAATTTTACGTTAAATGTTGTTTAGGTAATATTTAGGCCTAGTTAATTAGTTTATTATGTGTGTTTAGGCTACCCAGATGGTCTTTAAAAGTGATGGTTGTTAACACTTTTAAACATTCTTAATTAGCCTATTTTAATCATGGTTCATAAAAAGTCTAATTTAATAACATTTAAATCAACATGTGGTTTATGTCGTTACATATTAAGGTACGTGTATTTTAGTTTTTTGATTAAGTCCAGATTCATTAATGATATGTTGGCCGTGTTAGTGTTGTATTTTGATGGATAAGCCTTTGTACATCATGTGATAAAGGTATTGAAGTGATCATTTGACGTAATGTTCCGACGTACTTGCTGAAAATGATCTAACAAAGTTACTGATCATTGTTTTTGCTTATCATCTGTGATAGGCTAATACACAACCCAGACTATTTCTGCCATCTTTAAATGTTAACACAAATTCATGTTAATGTTAACTAAAATTCAACTTGTTACACTGATAATATTATTAGTAATAAACATAGCCTACAAAATAATATGTAAAAAAAAAAAAAAAAAAAAAAAAAGAAAGTATTTTCATTAGTGGTCACAGACTTTGACCAGTGTCTTAAATAAGATGCTACAACCAACTATTTTAGTTATTATTTGCTTGTCATCAGAAACTCTGCCAGAAGTCAGAATCTCTGTTTATTTTCCTTTCAAACTTATTTAGCACCTGCAATGTTTCTGTTTGAAAACTATGTGGGCCTGACTGTCTTGAAAAGCTGGTGTCCGATGAGTGCATCAAAGTTGGGATACCTTTACATTACATGTAAGTAAATACAAAATAATAAAATATACAAATAATCTTGCTGTTTGAACATATGATTATAATAGTTTAACAAAATGTGCTACTTGTATTTAATAAAGAGGTACATGCTGTTATGTTCTGCCAGACAAAATGTACTTCCCATGATTTAAAACAATTATATTAGAGTTTTAGTACATTCTGATATGAATTCCCTTCTGATAAGATGTGCTACTGTTGTTGTAATGTTCAACGCATTGCTCATCTTGTTTAAGAAGCAATTTTTATCCGACAAGCATCACAGCAGACACTATTATCCTGTTGACTGGGTTGGTCAGATTTTCAGAATATCTGTTACCAAACGAATTCTGTCTATTTGTCAGACATATTGGGTGTTTATTAAAATAAAGAGTTTTCACAATGCACAATTTGTACTTTATTCGGAGCTATACATTTCACATATAAAAACTAAACTCATCAATAAATTTGGCCTGTATTTCACAAGATATTGAATACAGTTCCTTTTTCTATATTTCCCACAACAGCCAATCTGAAGACAACACAGTGGGGACAATGAAAAGTTGTGCAACTGCTGAAACAGTATCTCAGTCCACTCCTCCATAATAGCAATCCTTAACAATGTTCACGTTTCTGCGGGTTTCTTCACCGTCAACTTGTTTTTTGTTCTTTTGATATTCTGACATAACCGGCTGATGATACTGTGTGTATATGATGAAAATAATATTCATGGATAAGAACATGTGGTCAGAAGAATGAGTGATGTATGAGTCATAAAAACAGACTTGTGAATGTAGATATTGATTGTGAAAAGTTTGTCTCGTTCTGAGCATATATTTCTTCACAATGATGTAGAGTTAGTCGTATCGGTCATTGTAATCAATTTTAAAATGTGCAAATTCAAGATAAAACAACTCAAAACACACGAGTTGCCTAGCTCAGTATTACTGTGAAAATGAGTATAACAAATTATAACTTTCAACACGTTTGGAATGGCTCCATCTAGTGGAGAGATATGCAATATGTTTCCCACATCTGGACGTGTGACTAAAAACAGAAGGCCAATGCAAACACTAAACGCATTTTTATTTGATTAAAATGGTTTCAGAAGTGTAGTAAAAGACAGTTTGTTTTTTGCTCAATGATAAACATACTGTATTGTTTTATGTTGTGATGGAATCATAAAACAAGTAACACAACATAGTGAAGGATTCACATGTGATACTTGTCATTTTTCAGATAATCCTTAAATCTACTACTATGCACACAAAATATACCCAGTCTCTGTGTTTTTGATGGGGAATGGAGTGGCAGTCCAGAGGGGTGTCCAAACTCGGCCCTGGAGAGCCATTGTCCTGTATAGTTTAGCTCATCTTGCCTGAACTCACCTGCCTGGAAGGTTCCAGAATGCAAGACCTTGATTATCTGGTTCAGGTGTGTTTAATTGGGCATGGAGCTGAACTCTGCAGGACAGTGGCCCTCCAGGAGCAGGATTGGACACGCCCTGGTCTTGAGTATTTGGAACCAAGACATTATAAATAAATCAATAAGCCAATTTACGATTTATATTTAAAAAAAAAAAAAAGACTGCTACATGTCAGAATGAGGTCAGTGATTCATTTTTGATGCAGATGCCCAAAGAGGGAAGTAAAGTGACTCACTTCCTGTTCTCACTTAACTGACTAAAATGATAAAGAAGATAAGATAAATTTGTGACAACTGCATGCTGATCAACATTCAGCAAGCAAATGTATCTCTATATTTACAGTCGCACTGTAGTTCCGTATCCCCAGACTCCAAGGCCAGGGTAGAGGGGTTCAGTAAATTTAGTTTGAACCTTATACAGAAGCTTCATTTTGTCAGACACACTATAAAATGCCACTGTCCCAGCCTCATAGTCTACATACACCCCTATCCTGGAGGAACTGGGGACAGATATAGTGGTGCTTTTGTTGTTGTGTACAAAGGAGTACTTGGATTCAGAGCAGTACAAACTCCAAGACTTGTCATTCCCCCCGAAGCTGCCAGCTTTGTCATTTTCTTTCCTCTGAATTCCTCTGTAAGTCACAGCAATGTCTATTTCTGTGCCACTCCAGTCCACTTCCCAGTAGTAGCGACCGCCGGCCAGACCTTCCTTACACAGCACCTGCTGCCAGTATTCGAAGCGATCGGGATGCTCCGGGTACGACTTTGGCTCGTTGCTCATACGCACCACTGTGTTTTTGTCTGACAGGTGCAGGTTCGGGTGGGCTGTTGAAGGATCTGTTGAGGGCTGACAGAAATCTAGATCAAGAAGGGGTGTTGTTAAATTAACCCCTATAAACAAATGTGTTTCCTATATAAAACTACTGTCTCACTGTTGATTATATTGATTATGAACTTACATTCTAAGAAGTCCTCCCTTTTTGCTGGGTCCACAGTCTGGAGAATTTTAACCTCCTTTACTGCAGATGAAAAACATATTTGTATAAAAATAAATATATACAGTATATATAATGTATATATATATTACATTAAATTGAATTGAATGCATTGATTTCTGAAGGATCATGTGACACTGAAGACTGGAGTAATGATGCTGAAAATTCAGCTTTGCCATCACTGGAATAAATTACATTTTAAAATATATATTCAAATAGAGAAAATTTTTATTGTAATAATATTTCACAATATTGCTGTTTTTACTGTATTTTTTATCAGAAAATTGCAGCCTTATGAGCATAAGAGACTTCTTTCAAAAACATAAAAAAAAATCTTACCGACTTTTGAATGGTAATGTATATATACATGTATACCCGTGTATGTGTGATATATTATATATATATATATACACACACAGACACACACATACACATTATGTGCATAAATTTGCAATATAAGGGTTTTAAGCACCTGCTGATGAGATTTTGATCATTTCTTCTTTGCTTATGTCTTCTAATTGCACTTTCAGGTCAGAGATGGCTTTCTTTGCATTGTCAAATGTGTGGTGAGGGGCTAATGTCACTTTGGACAAGTCTTCATATCCAGAAGGAGCAGAAAGAGACTGCCAGCTCTATATGGGGGGAGGGGGGGGGGGGAGGGGGGGGGGGGGGGAGGGGGGGGGGGGGGGGGGAGAACAAACAGTTTAACAAAAAAAAAAACAGTTTAACAAAAAAAAGCAAATGCGCTTATGGGCCACAGCACTTTTTCAACAATACCTGTAAGAAGTGGATATGATCATCGGATTGGGACAGCTGCTCCAGGTCATTATGTTTCTTTCTTAGTAATGTAATCTCCTCCTCCAGCCTGCCTAGGTGTCCCTCTGCACGTGTCAGTAGAAGGGTTTCCTGGGCTCGGATCATCTCCTTCACTTCTCCATGCCTCCTCTCTAGTGCCCGCAGCAGTTCAGTGAAAATACGCTCGTTTTCATCCAACACACTCTGAGATGAGTGCTGGAATGAGATGAGATAGGGACTGCACATGATTTCATTTTCAATACCAGTCAAATAGAGATGGAACAAGAGCAGAGCGCCTTTTTAAAATTGGAGGTCCTGTTAAATAAGTAAATAGCATTTTGAGCTAATTTAATTGTAACACTTTACAATATTTATAAAATTATACCATTTTTAAAAGTATTCATTATTGATTTAATTTATTAAACATACCATTCATCAATAATTCATGTATATTTAATTAATGTTCATTTATTAAACTTAAATATTTAGGATATGTAGAAATTAACATTAAACTAACATTACATTTTTTTTAAAATATTTTTAGCCTAGCTACTTCTCTCACTGCAGATGAAAAACATGTGTTTAAATATGTTTTAAATAGGCTACACTACTATTCAAATGGGGTCAGTACATTATTAAATAATAAAAATAATACTTTTATTCAGTAAGGGCCGGTTCACACAGAATGAATTTTTGTGGAATGGGGAAAAACAGCAAGGTCTCAACTTATTTTAACAGCTTTTTTGGAACGAGGTGTCATGCGCGAGGCGCTGCAAAAAGCGCAAGACGTCCGTCCAGCGCGTTTACATTTAAAAAAAAATGGCACAGTGGAATGGAAAAACGTGTTCTGTGTGAACGGCCCCAAAGTATGCATTAAATTGATCAAAAGTGTCAGTAAAGACATTTGTAATGTCACAAAATATTTCTATTTCAAATAAATTATGTTCTTCCAAACTTTCTATTCATCAAACAATCCTAAAGATATGTATCGGATATGTACGGTTTTGACAAAAATATTAAGTAGCACAACTGTTTTGATAACAACAACAATAATAATAATAATAATAATACATGTTTCTTGAGCATCAAATCAGCATACTAATTTCTGAAGGATCATGTGATTCTGTAGACTGGAGTAATGATAGCCTACTGAAAATTCAGCATATTCAAATAGGATTTTTTTTGTTTGTTTTGTTTTTATGTATTAGCCCTATACTTATTCGTTTTAATTTTACATTTCTATGAAAATAATTAATGATTAGGTTTTCATCAACTCTCAAGCCCCCAGCAGTTTCCTCGCTGTTTTGGAAACCCTGACCTAAAGTGTTAACTAACTGGAACAAATAGAACCTTATTGTAAAATGTTTGATTTAATAATATAAAACAGAAATACACATGTAATGTGGTATTGTACATTGCAGTGGGCAAGTCAGCGTAACAGCATTTTATGAGTAATTAAGTGACATAATAAAAGATATAAACAGAGGATTCTTCCCAATTATTTTCTAAAATTCTTACTTTTATGGATGCCACTGCCTGCCTGAGATCTTGCCATTTCTTCGTCCTTTCCTCAATCTTCTGCTGTGAAGTCATCAGTTTCGCTCCAAGCTGTTTCTGTTGACAATTTCAAGAAAGCAAATTCGTGAGACACTGGACTGTTAAAGGATTAGTTCACTTTTAAAAAAACTTTTGCTGATAATTTACTCACCCCCATGTCATCCAAGATGTCCATGTCTTTCTTTCTTCGGTCGAAAAGAAATTAAGGTTTTTGATGAAAACATTCCAGGATTTTTCTCCATATAATGCACGTTGCTGGGCACCAAACGGTTCAAGGTCCAAAAGACAGTTTCAGTGCAAACTGTTCAAATGGCTTTAAACGACACCAGACGATGAATAAGGGTCTTATCAAGCAAAACGATCGCTCATTTAAAAAAGAAATAACAAAGTTTAAGTTTTATAAGCTCAAATGCTCGCCTTGCTCCGTTCTGTGTGACTCTCCTGTTCGAACTCGTTCATCAAAATGAATGAATCTTTTTCCGAGTCAATTCGTTCATTTCGTTCGTTAAATGAACCAAATTACTCGAAAAAAGATTTGTTCATTTTGATGAACGAGTTCGAACAGGAGAGTCACGAACGTGCATCACAGAACAGAGCAAGGCGAGCATTTGACATTATTAAACTTAAACTTTGTTATTTATTTTTGAAATGGCCGATCGTTTTGCTTGATAAGACCATTATTCATCGTCTGGAATCGTTTAAAGCCCTTTGAACAGTTTGCAGTTTGCACTGAAACTGTCTTTTGGACCTTGAACTGTTTGGTGCCCAGCAAAGTGCATTATATGGAGAAAAATCCTGGAATGTTTTCATCAAAAACCTTAATTTCTTTTCGACTGAAGAAAGAAAGACATGGACATCTTGGATGACATGGGGGTGAGTAAATTATCAGCAAAAGTTTTTTTTAAAAGTGAACTAATCCTTTAAGGGATAGTTCACCCAAAAATGAAAATGTGTTCAGAATTCATACAGGTTTGGAACAACTTGAGGGTGGGTAAATGATGACAGAATTGTCGTTTTTGTGCTATCCCTTAATCTTCCAACCAAGTGAAAGCACTAGATATTGACTTGTTGTTTATCACTGATCATCATGATTTAGTTTAAAAGCATACGGTTCTTCATGGCATGAGTCATTTTTAATCAATGTTCTCTCTATTGATAAGCTCACCTGCTTTTCTGTCCTTTCAGCTGCTGCTGAAACAATATCATGTTTTTTGTGTTCCTCCATGATACACAAAACGCAAACACATGCTTGATCAGAACGACAGAAAACCTCTAAAAGTTTATCATGTTCAGCGCAGATCTTCTCACGCAGTTGCCCTGTTGCTGCCACCAGTTTGTGCTTCATGAGAGCTGGATACTCATAATGAGCCTGGAGATGCGTCTCACAAAATGAGGTTAAGCACGTCAGACATGACTTCACTGCCTTGTTCTTCTTTGCCAGACAGAAATCACACAGCACTTCTCTGGAGCTGTTGCGGCTGCTGGAGCTGCTGTATCTTCCATTGCGTCTGGGTTTCTCCATAGTGCTGTATCGGCTATGGTTGGCTGTACTGCTCCGAGACATGTTAAAACTCTCTCGGCATAATCCAAAGACAAGCTTGTGGGGTAAAAAGTAGTTTCAATGAAACTGTACTGACACATTCATTATATATAGAGGAATGTGAACCGTGTGTGATAAACCAGTTTAGCAGGTTAGATGCTGACATGTCATGTGACAGATGATGTTAGAACAAAGAGAATAGCAAAAATGTGAATGTTGTAACATAAACATTGTAAAACATTTTTACAAAGGCCCTTTTGTTGACAGTAAACCATGAGTGAAGTGTCTTGTAAGTTTCCTCCAGTGGTTAAGTAAGGAAAAATTGACGATGGTCCGATTATTAGAAAAATAATGTGACGTCGCGAAGCATGCTGTTTGTGTGTGTGTGTGTGTGTGTATGTAGAAAGAGAGCGTGCTTTCAATAGATTAATAAACGTGATTTTGAGGGGGAAACATTGAGCTTTTCATTTGTATCATATTGTTTGTTATATATTTGCTAGGTCAGTGTATTTGTGGGTTTTGGTTCTTTTGCTGTTGTAAGCTGTGAGGACCTGTGAAATAACAAAAAAAAAAATATTTAGCGAAGTAATATGGAACTGCAATGTGGTCAAGACCTGCCTGGAACTACTTTAGCTGCATTTACTTAATAAACTTAAATAATTGCACACCTTAGAACATTCATCAACCAAGAATAAAGCAATCAATAGTCATGCACATGTGCATGGCTATTGAATGCTTTATTCTTGGTTGATGAATGTTCTATGGTGTGCAATTATTTAAGTTTATTATTTAAGTAAATGGAATGTGTTTTATTTTATATAAATATAATTACTATAATTTTACTATAAATTACTATCATTTTATATTAAAATAAAAGCTACTTTTCCTTATAACTTAATAATATTTTATTAATAAAATTTTCCACTTCAAATCATGCCCACATGCAACAGCTTAAAGTCATTCGTTTTGATAACACAGACCAGAGGCTCTGTAATTTAATTTATTTCCACATCTACATCAAAGGTCAAAGAAAATTAAATTTATACAGAATTCAAGCATCCAGTTTCAAAATGTGTAACACGGTTTCCGGTGAGAATCAAAGTAGTTAAATTCCTCACAAGTAGCCTAAATCATCGTCGATATAATGGACATGACTTTTGAAATGGCAAACATTTAAGTTAATATTCTTTCATTAAAATTTGTATGTGAATTTCGAAGTTCAGAAAGAGATAGAGATATGTGAAACTATTACGTAATGAGGAGGAAAAACAACAAACAACAGTCAGAAGGTTGGGAATTCAGCTATAGAGTCATCATGCACTGAACTAGTAACTTTTCTGTTGCTATTTATAGAATTTTACTTTGCAAATGTACACATCAGTGTTTCCAGTAACACATTCATGAGATCAAAATCTATTTGACCACAAAACACAATAGTGTTTGATAAAGATCTGTTTACACTGTATTGTGCATGCAACTTTCACTTCTCCCTTTTTTTCAAGTGCATTGCCAAGAGGATCTAAAAAGCCTGTGTGCTGTTTTCCAGCAAACAATAGCATTACAGCCCTGTGAAAAATGATGGACTACAAAATAAAATGGGATGTCTTCTTTAGATTCTTAGTTTAAATAAAAAAGCATCAGTTTATTTGATCAAATTCAATACATTCACATGTAGCCTATACTGTATACATGCTCAGATTATTGCTTTATAGGCTAATAGCTCTCCTGAGCCGTATCCAGAATCTCTTGTTACTCAAAGGGCCCCTTCTCCACTTCAAGTACGTGTTCTTTTTCAGATGCTTATGAAGACCAAACACTTTCTTAGTCTTCGTCTCTTCCACATCTTCCAGAATGACGATGATGATGTTGGCATTGCGTTCCATCATAAACCGGGACTGAGCTAATTCAAACTCAAAGCGACACCAGGCGCTATCAATGAAGTGTTGAGACACAACCACAATGACTTTACGACTGCCCATTATTCCTTCATCAATAATGTTTGAGGCGATGGACTTCCCTGCTTGAAAGTCCCGCATGTGAAGGCAAAGATGAATAGGTGGAACACCGTTCTCCAGATTCTCCATCAGTTCATTCATGACCCAGACTTCATCATAGCTGGAGAAAATCACAAATGCATCATAGGAACATTCTTGTTGTCCAGGTGATCTGTAGCCTCTCCAAAGAATCCAGCAATACTGAAGATAAAACTGGTACCTATAAGCCAAGACTGATAACACAACTACTAATGAAACAATACATAATGATACAACAATTGTGAGTCTTTTCTTTTGCACACAGCTGTCAATGTCAAAGTCCACTGCTCTAAAATCTGAGCTTGGTGACAAGGTTTTACAGAAAATATTTTCTGATTGCTTCAAAATGTTCTGATTTTGGATGATCCACATAATAAAATCTGTCTGGGAGCAGGAACAATCGATGGGGTTGGAGGACAAATCAAACTCTGAAAGGTTTGCAGGCAACTTTTGGAGAACATGAAGTGGGATGCTAGTAATGCTGTTCTTATCGATAAAAATTGATGTAAGTTGTTTCAGCTCTGGTTGGGCCAGAAAGTCCAAAATCATCAACTTGTTTTTACTTAAATATAAATGCCTTAGTTTCTGCGTGCCGGTAAAGGATGTCCTGGAGATTTCTCCGATGCCACAGTGTGAGATGTCAAGAACTTCCAAATGTGTAAGATTTTGTAAGAAAGATTTCAATATATCTCCACTGAAACTGATTCCCGCCATTTTAAGCACAGTCAAATGTTGCAGGTCCCGAAAAATCATGTACATTGTTACAGTAATACTTGTGTAGGAAATATCCAAATACTTTAAATTTTTTAGACCTTGTAAAAATCCAAAGTAAAAAACAATGACTAGTTTTGTATGGTGGAGGTCCAACACTTCAAGCATTTCAAGTCCAGAAAATGGGTTATCAACCATCCCTATCTCTGAGTTTTGACTAAGATTCAAGAATCGAATATTTGGTGCCCTTGGAAAAAATTGGTAACAGCAGTCCTTCAAAATCAAAAAGTTTCCACTCAAATCAACATACTGAAGAAGAGACAGGTCACTGACACCAATACCAATACCAATAAAGGATAGAGGCACAGTATTCTTCACCACTAGTTTTTCTAAGCTTGGTATATGTGAAACAATTGGTACAACAGATAATGAAGTGTGACCTAAATACAGTTCCTTAAGACGGTGAAATGGAACATGTTCCATTCTTTTGAAATATCCGCTTTTCACTGTGATTTTTGTCGCATTGATCATACAATGGAACAAATTCATTTCAGAATCAGAGAATTCTTTCTGAACAAGATATATTTCATTGAAATTAACAGAACAAAGACCATCAAGATAATTTGAATCTGACACATGGATTTTCCATTGCATCCTGTAACTTCCAATGAACAACTTATCCACACTGAGACCAGTAAGAGCATTTAGACACCCATTTTGTGCATTTAATGAAACGAAGGCAGCTTGTATGTGAAGCTCTCTGAGATAGACATCTTTGAAAGCTCCTGATTCAATGTGTAATAATGGATTCCTAGAGAGAATCAAAGTCATGTTTCTGCCAATCTTTCTCAACACAACAGTGTGATCAGTTTTAATGATGGATATATTATTGGCATGTAGATCAAGTAAACTGAAATCTTTAAAGGAGCTCATGAATGGAGGGAGAGACACGGACTGGATGTTATTTGTTCCAACTCTAAGTTCCTGTAGCTTAGTAAGGTTATTCATTTGAAGCTGTAAGGACGCGAGACCAACATCCACAAGAACTAGTCTTTGTAGATAATGTAAAGAATTCAAGCATCCAGGTCCAAAATATGTAATAGGGTTTCCAGTGAGAATCAAAGTAGTCAAATTCTTCACATTGTAGAAAGTATCATTTTCAATGTGCTTGATGTGACATCTGAAAGCCCAGAAGATTAAAAATTAGAACATTAAACAATAGTTAACATGTTTAAATTGTAATGCATTATGATTAATGATCAGTAGCATTAATTTACCTTGTGAGGTCCAAAACTTGCAAATTGAACAATACAGGAAATACACACTTATGTAAAGAGTTCAAGAAATTGAAACTGAAATCCAGAGACGTCACAGTGAAGGGAAGACTGCTGGGAATGTGAGTCAGATTTCTCCCAGAACATGAGTATTCCATATTCTTTATTATCTATTAATAAACAAAGACACAATTATACCATTTTTTAAACATACTTTTGGTATTTCTGTTTTTTTTCTGTCTGAGAGATCCTAAGGCCTCTTTACTTTTGTATAAGATAGATAGATAGATAGACAGAAAATCTCTGAAAAAGTGCATTTCTACATACTATCTGAATATTCCCTTTCCCTTCCCTTAGAAAATGAGGCTAATTATAAACGACTAATAATATAATATAATATAATATAATAATGAAAAGAACCTGATCATCAAATAATTACAAAATAAATTCAGAAGTCCAGCATGTTTATAATACTATAGCCTTCGATCAAAATAACAATACATAACCACTCACATAAACAAATAGTATTCTCTAAGAACCTAGCCTTAAAGCACAAATATGAACTATATTAATGATAACTATATATAAACTATACGTATTGTTCTTACCATGGCACATTCCTGTCCTTCTCCAGCATTCACAAGAATCAAGATTGAGCTTAGGAATATCATCAGTTCACGATATGATAAGTTCATTGTGATGTAAAGCACATACCATTTCATATAAATCTGTTAATACTCTATTGTCGAAGTACTGCATACTGGCAAGCAACTCTCACTTCTCCCTTTTGTTTCAAAAGGGAAGTTATTCATATATAAAGTACATTCCCATGATGAATAGAAAGCCCTTCACTTGCAGTATTTTAAAGGAGCAATAACTTTACTCTGTGAAAAATGGTTGAAAAGCAAAAAATGTAATAAATCTTCTTAAAATTGTGCAAAAGTTTTTTTTATTCAAAACATAATATATCCAAAGTAAATGTAATATTATTGTTTTGTGGCAATAATAGCTCTCCTGAGCCGTATCCAGAATCTCTTGTTACTCAAAGGGCCCTGCTCCACTTCAAGTACGTGTTCTTTTTCAGATGCTTATGAAGACCAAACACTTTCTTAGTCTTCGTCTCTTCCACATCTTCCAGAATGACGATGATGATGTTGGCATTGCGTTCCATCATAAACCGGGACTGAGCTAATTCAAACTCAAAGCGACACCAGGCGCTATCAATGAAGTGTTGAGACACAACCACAATGACTTTACGACTGCCCATTATTCCTTCATCAATAATGTTGGAGGCGATGGACTTCCCTGCTTGAAAGTCCCGCATGTGAAGGCAAAGATGAATAGGTGGAACACCGTTCTCCAGATTCTCCATCAGTTCATTCATGACCCAGACTTCATCATAGCTGGAGAAAATCACAAATGCATCATAGGAACATTCTTGTTGTCCAGGTGATCTGTAGCCTCTCAGAAGAATCCAGCAATACTGAAGATAAAACTGGTACCTATAAGCCAAGACTGATAACACAACTACTAATGAAACAAAACATAATGATAAAACAATTGTGAGTCTTTTCTTTTGCACACAGCTGTCAATGTCAAAGTCCACTGCTCTAAAATCTGAGCGTGTTGACAAGGTTTTGCAGAAAATATTTTCTGGTTGCTTCAAAATGTTTTGATTTTGGATGATCCACAAAATAAAATCTGTCTGGGAGCAGGAACAATCGATGGGGTTGGAGGACAAATCAAACTCTGAAAGGTTTGCAGGCAACTTTTGGAGAACATGAAGTGGGATGCTAGTAATGCTGTTTTTATCAACATAAAACGATGTTAATTGTTTCAGGCTTGGGTGGATAAGAAAATCTATAGTCATTAAATTGTTTCCTCTCAGATTCAAAAGTCTAAGTCTTTGGAGATTTTTTAAAGAGCTTGGGTGTAACTCTACAATACGACAGTATGACATGTCAAGGTGCTCTAGAACTGTGAGATTATTAAATAAAAATCGTATTACATCACCCTGAAAATTATTGCCAGCCATCTTGAGAACCTTAAGACTGCTCAGTCCATAAAAGCAATATATGTTACCAAAAGTGATACTGGAATAAGAAACATCTAGATACCTCAAATACTTCAAGTTAGACAAAAGTGAAAGGTATCCCATACCTACAACCCTTGTATGATGAAAATCTAGAATTTCAAGGGAATCAAGTCTATCAAATGCTGGAACAGAAAGACCGATTTGTGGATTTAAACTCAAATTTAGATACCTGATTCCATGAGTGTCCAACAACATTTCTGTGCAGCATGATGTTAATGTAATTTGGTTTGAACTCAGATCCAAATACTGAAGCTTAGGCATGTCTATAAAGGTTTCAACTTGGGTTGCAACGTTGCGTGTAAATACTACTTTTTCTAAAGTATGAAGATGTGAAAGTAGTTTACCTGGCACAGTATCTAATTGATTGTTAATCAAGTAAATCTCCTTGATTTCATTAAATGGCACATACGCAATATCACGAATTAGACCACCCTTTACAGCTACAATTGTGGCATTAATCATACAGCGAAAGATATTAATTTTCCCACTAGGCCTTTCTTTTATGTAATAATATACCTCATGAAAATAAATAGAGCAAAGGCCATCTAAATAGTCTGAATCTGATGGGAAAATCTTGTTATCATCCCTGTTCTTTCCGAACATCAGCTTTTTGACATTAAGACCATATAGAGCTTTTAGACCAACTTTCTGAGTAGCAAATGAAACAAATGCAGATCGAATATCCAGCTCTCTGAGATAAACATCTTTGAAAGCTCCTGGTTCAATGTGTAATAATGGATTCCTAGAGAGAATCAAAGTCATGTTTCTGCCAATCTTTCTCAACACAACAGTGTGATCAGTTTTAATGATGGATATATTATTGGCATGTAGATCAAGTAAACTGAAATCTTTAAAGGAGCTCATGAATGGAGGGAGAGACACGGACTGGATGTTATTTGTTCCAACTCTAAGTTCCTGTAGCTTAGTAAGGTTATTCATTTGAAGCTGTAAGGACGCGAGACCAACATCCACAAGAACTAGTCTTTGTAGATAATGTAAAGAATTCAAGCATCCAGGTCCAAAATATGCAATTGGGTTTCCAGTGAGAATCAATGTAGTCAAATTCTTCACATTGTAGAAAGTATCATTTTCAATGTGCTTGATCTGGCATCTGAAAGTAAATACATAAATTCAATATTATTTATAGAACAAGACATTATACAACAAGAGATTTAGATGGTAATAGCATTGCTTACCTTGACAGATCAAGGACTCGTAGAAAAGACAAAACCGGGAATACCGTCTTCTGTAAGTGTTTCAAAACGTTAAAACTAAAATCCAGAATTTGAACTGATGGAGAAATAGTTGGTGGTATGTAGCTGAGGTTTCTTCCCATGCATGAGTAGTGCAGATTCTCGGTAATCTAAGGTTCATTTTTAAGTAAATGGTTAAGTAAATGTTAATATTTCACAACAGTAATGCAGAACACAGATTTAAATTCAGATTTAAAAAAAACTTACTTTAGTGCATGATTCTCCAGCACCTATGAAAAAAAATATCATGAAAGCACTTACAGTAAAGAAACTCATCTTGAGTGATCTCAACCGCTCATACAAATTTGAGCCAGCCTTGTTTGAGATCATTGAATATGAGGAACGAATGCCATGGTTTGCAACAATGTGGAACTATGGGTGAAAGGATGTCATAGAGAAGTGAGCTTATGCTTAGTTTCTTAAATCTTGAATGAAGAAGTACCTTTCTGAATAGATGTATTGTAATTGCCTCTGCAATTCATATAAGTTTAATAAGGACAACTTTATGCATGTATTTGTATAGGCAACACTTTAATTCAAAGCACTCTGGATCCTCTGAGCCTATAAGGCCAGCAATAACAGTAAAGAGTAGTTTTGAGATGACAGGTGGCAGGACTAGAGCAGCATGATCAGACAGGTAAGGCCTGATTTTCCTGATGTTATAAAGCTTGAGTCTGCATGACAGGCAGTTGTTGAGATTCTGCAATGTTGAACTGGTTGTTGAATACTACCCTAAGATTATCAACTGAGCTGGCTTGCTTTAGGCCATATGTCCACCAAAGCTTTTTCAGTAAGCTCTTCTGATAACACAGCTAGGGGTGCTTAAGATTGCTTTGGTTGCCATGACTGCTGCTCTCTTAGTAGACTGATGGCAAACAAAATGTTCCTCCAAGCATTATTTTTCAAATTAATATTGTGGTAGTCCTGGTATGTCATCTGGTACAAACATGGCTACTCTGAGACCAGCAATATTAACTTCTTGCTAAATTAAAGTCATTGTACAAGTAGAATGTGACAGTTGATTGGTGTGGTATTTGTCCCGCCCCTCCTCCATTGTTATTGGATGGCTGGGTAAAAAGTGGCAGTGACGAGCACCGTGTTTTACCCAAAGCTGAATATTTTTCTTCTTTCGGTGACAGGAAAAATGCCTTTATTAAATACATTGCACTCCATTTGCAGAATTTAAAAAAAAAAAAGCTGACCACAGGAAAGAACACTTTGGTTACATCACCTCAATGGGAACCAGCAACTGGCTGACAATCTGAACGAGTTCTATTGTCATTTGGACAGAGGCTGTCTCACACCCCATACCCACTCTAACCTTTAGTCCACACAACCATCAACCCCTCTTGCTATACCCCCTCTGTCCGCTCATACTACTCAACCTGAATTTATAATCTGTGTAGAGGATGTGTTGGCTCTTCAGGAAACAGAAGATCATGGAAAGCACCAGGCCCAGACAATGTCTCACCCACCTGTCTGAAAGTCTGTGCAGACCATGCTGTCACCCATCTCCACGCAGATCTTCAACAGATCTCTGGAGCTGCGCAAAATCCCTTCCTGCTTAAAATGTTCCAACATCATCCCCATCAAAACGAAACACAAGATTACAGGACTGAAAGACCACAGACCTGTTGCTTTAACATCTGTGGTCATGAAGTAGCCTAATTTGACAGACTAGTGCTGGCCCACCTGAAGGACACCACTGCGCCCTTGCTAGACCCCCTTCAGTTTGTCTATCGAGCAAACAGGTCTTCACTACATCCTGCAATATCTGGACAAACCAGGGAATTATGCAAGCAGCTATCTGTAGCCTTAGACTAGTAGCCCACTGAAGCTAAGCCTGGTCAGTACCTGGATGGGAGTCTTCCTGGGAAAACTAGGTTGCTGCTGGAAAGAGGTGTTAGTGAAGACAGCAGGGGATGCTCACTCTGTTGTCTGTGTGGGTCATAATGCCCCAGTATAATGATAGGGACACTATACTGTCAAATAGCACCGTCCTTCGGATGAGATGTTAAAATAGGACATGTCTCTCTGTAGTCATTAAAAACCCAGAATGTCCTTCAAAAAAGAGTAGGGGTGTAAGCCTATTGGCCTCTGTCCATCATCATGGCCTCCTAATCATCCCTATTCTGTCCTTTGCATGTGTGTGCGTTGGGCATGCATATACAGATAGCTAAACATTTTATGAAGTGATGAAGAGCCTTCAATGACCACTCAGAGGATGTACATTTTCTTCTTTACTTGAGTGCAATCATGTTGTTTCTCTCAATCTGTTACATTATTTTGTGAAACTGAAAAATAAATACAAAAATGTGTATTATTTGTGTAAAAATGTGTATAAAAATGTAAATTAAAAAAAAAAAAAAAAAAATATATATATATATTTCCCCAATCCCCAACCTCCTCCTGTCCAAATTAACTCAGCTCTCTGTGCCCACCTCCATCTGTCAGTGGATCACCAACTTCCTGACAAACAGGCAACAGCTAGTGAGGCTGGGAAAATTCATATCCAACACCTGGACAATCAGAACTGGCGCTCCACAAGAATGTGTGCTCTCCCAACTACTCTTCTCCCTCTACACAAATGACTGCTCCTCTACAGACCCCTCTGGGAGGCTCCTGAAGTTTGCAGATGACACCACAGTCATTGGCCTCATCCAGGATGGTGATGAGTCTGCATACAGAAGAGAGCTGGCTGTCTGGTGCAGTCACAACAACCTGGAGCTGAACACGCTCAAAACAGTAGAGATCATAGTGGACTTCAGGAGGAACATCCCAGCACTCCCCCCACTCAACATAATGAACTGTTTCTTCAAGTTTCTGGGCTCTAACATCTCAAAGGACCTTAAGTGGGTGTTTCACATATGGCGCTTTTCCACTACACAGTACCAGCTCGCCTCGGCTCGGCTCGACTCGACTCGACTCGCCTTTGTTTGGTTTTCCACTGTGTAAAATTTGTACCTGTACCTGCTTTCGGGTACTTTTTTCGTACCACCTCCGGCGAGGTTCTAAGCGAGCTGAGGCAAGCTAAGCTGATACTAAAATGTGACGTGAAAACAATGCCGACTGCTGATTGGTCACAGAGAATCTGCGTCATCATTGCACGCGCCAGATGGAGTATCCAGAATAACCCCGCCATTTTTAAATAGTTTGGCCAGAGGTAGTTACTAAACTTACTACTATTATTATGGCAACTCGGAAGAATACGCCGTGGTCAAACGAGGAGGTGCAGACATTCCTTTGTTTGGTTGGCGAAGAGAGGATCCAGCGAGAGCTTGATGGGGCAACGAGGAACGAAATGCGTCGCTATGACGACCGGGTACTATTTGTGGCGGTACTTTCTGCAATGGAAAACGGAGCGAAAAGCGAGCCGAGTCGAGGCGAGCCAAGGCGAGTCGAGTCGAGGCGAGCCAAGGCGAGTCGAGTCGAGTCGAGCTGGTACTGGTAATGGAAAGTGCCAATAGACTCCATTGTGAAAAAGGCCCAGCAGAGGTTGCACTTCCTTCACCAGCTGAAGAAGGTTAACCTGCCACAGGAGCTGCTGACCCAGTTCTACTCAGCCGTCATTGAGGATCTGTACTCTTCCAGAGTGAGGAAGAAGCAGGTAAAATCATCACAGACTCCGCTCACTCTGGCCACAACCTCTTTGAACTGTTGCCGTTCGACTGGCGACTTAGAACACTGGACACTAGAACATCTAGGCACAGGAGCAGCTTCTTCCCACAGGCCATCTCCTTCCTAAATAGTTAAATGCCTCCCAATGTCTCTCTTAGTGCAATACTCCTACTGTTTAGTGCAATATCTGGTTAATTCACTTCTCTTTATTATCCACAATACTGTAAAGTGTAAATATGTTCATATCTGTAAATATGCTTATTCTGACTTATCCTAACTCTGTCTATATACTTTTTCATATTTTTATTCTTTAATTTTATTATTATGGGTCTTCTTATTTTATTTATATGTGTGCACTGGAAGCTTCATTTACAAAGAAAAATACCCTGTGCGTGCAAGCACACTTGGCAATAAAGGTCTTTCTGATTCTTCTAGTTGTAAGGTGATGTTGTGCTCAGTTGATGAGGTGGCCCGCCTCATCCTCTGGACCCGCCGGCTCTCCTCAGCCCTCCAGCTCTATCAGGACGACCACGGCCTCTTGCTCACCAAGATCCAAAGGATTGGAGTCCTCGGAGCTCCAACCATTCGGCTCCACCTTGACCCTCTGAACCCAAGATTCTGCCTCTGTCCTTCGATCTATCGGCTCAATCGGCATCCCTCCGGCTACAGCAGGGTCCCTCGTCCTACCATCTCCACCAGGGTTCATCGCCCTCCTGGCTCTGCAGACTTCCTGGCCTGTGGTGGTGCCTGATCCCTCCACTCCTTCGTCTCCACCAGACTCCTTCGTCTCCACCAGACTCCTTCATCTCCTCAGCTCCATTGTTTTCCTCACTACCTATGGCTCCATCTTAGACTACATTCACATTGTTAGTTCAAATCTGACTATTTGTGTATCTGATTGGAGTGTGATCTAAATGATTGACAGCAGAGGTGGAAAGTAACGAATTACATTTACTCGCGTTACGTAATTGAGTAGTTTTTCTGTGTACTTCTACTTTTTAAAGTAGTTTTTAAAATCTGTACTTTTACTTAAGTACGTTTTGTTTGAAGTATTTTACTTGCTACATTTGAAATCATATCCGTTACTGAGTAAAAAATAATAATACAAGGGAGAAAAAAAAATCTCACTCCTGAAACTACTGCATTGATGGAAGGGCGGGAGAACAAACGTGCAAAAAAGGTGACGCAGACCCAGCTGAAGCTGAAAGCGAAGCACCCTCGCATTCTTAAGAAGCGAATTATGGCCAGTATGAAAAAAAAAACCGTGGTTGTCCTCGAGGATAAATATCCAATTTGCAAAAGGAGGATACATAGACACACCATCCCTCCTGCAGATAAAGGTATGTCCCGATTATAGCTTAAGGCCGAATGACTTACGTGATGCAGAGGGAATCCCGGAATCCAGTCATGAAAATGAAAAAAATTACATAACGCAGATGTCACGTAAAACACGCAAAATAATGGATGCATGAATACATGGAAAGTAGAACTGTCCAATAAATCCAATCACGCCATGGTCTGTGAATATTTAAGCACAAAAATACTGCTATGTAAATATATCCCTATTTGAGGGGGTGAGGCGCTGAGCTGCGCCGCTTTGTCTACTACATACTCAAGTACGCGTGACGTTCATGGTGTTTTCAGTCTCAAAACCAATTTGAGGATATGAATACATGAACATTTCCAGAGCTGCTCTGAGAGAACGCCTAATGAGCATTTTCATCATTTTATTTGAGAAAAAACAAAACCATTGTCAACTACACTTTAAAACACTTTTTTACAACCCGTCAAAATAAAAGTTCGGTTTTACTAGGAGAAATTATGACAGAAATATATTACTGTTCTACTTCTCAAAATAATAATAATAACAACTATAATAATTAAAACAATTTTATTTTATTTAAATATGAAAAAAAAAAAATATTTAAAAATTTCAAATAATTTTATTTAAACATTATTTAAAGGAATATAT